AAAGCATATCGATATAAGGTACCACTTCTTAAAACATCATGTAAAAGAAGGTAATGTCGAACTATACTTTGTCAAATCTAAAATCTTGGCTGATCTCTTTACAAAAACCCTTTATGAGGAAAGATTTAACTTCCTTATTGAAAAAATAGGAATGGCATGCCCAGAGTTCTAAGTGTTGTATGTCTTACTTCTAATAATCTCTTTTTGTATAAAGTTTTACTTCTTGGTTAACCTTCACTTGTTTTCTTAGTTAGTAGGTTTACCTCGCAGAGACATGCAAGGTTTGAGGGGGAGTATATGCTTTAAAAGGAATAAAACCTATTGAAGAAGCAAAATGTTTTTAATCACAGAAGTCTTTTCAGAGATCCTCTGTGATAACTCTCAGAGGCTTTTTGAACAGGTCCTATGTCGATACTTTCTTCTTAGGATTTTAAATGTTTTTTGAGGGGGAGCCATGGACGTGGCCTCAAGGGGGAGTTTTTGAAAATCAAAACCTCAGAAGGTGCCAAAAATTTTGAAGTATCTTGATCTTAGAGGTCAGCTCATCAGAACCTCTGGCGCTTCTATCAGCGGTTTTGTGGGTCTGAACTGAGCAAGTGTTCATCTCTCTGAGGATTTTCAAACCGTTTAGGTATACAAAGGTGTAACATGTTAGAAGGCCCCGCACATATCACAGAGGCTCTGTTACCCTTAGGCTTCTGACAAAACTCACTTCTATAATTTTCTATTATTGATATGATGCGTGTGGTTCTGTGTATAAGGGTTAAAGTTGACCACGCCCATGTAAAAAACGGGGGCTCACGTCATCAATCGTGCGTCTTCCCAAAAACACGTGACATATTTTGATTCATCTTTCCCATAAGCCACTCATCAAGTATATCGCCAAATAAACGATTCACATTCAAAATTCGTCACTATAAATACTTTTTCCCCCCATCAAATACCCCTTCACTTCTCTAAATACTCCAGCAAAATCTCAAGCTTTCCGGCAACCTGCAAATATGTCTTGAAGCTCAGCATCCGCCTCCACTTAATCCGAAAACAACCCAAGCAGTAATGAAGTGAACCAATCTCAGGCACTGACCTCTCATGCCATATCATTTTTACAGAATCGATATGAGAAGTGGTGTTGGTAAAGAAACCTAATAACTACTACTTCGCTCCATCCCCAAATGGCTTCCCGGAATACACTTATCCACTTCTGGAGATCCTTCGCAATCACCCCATATATTACGCACTCACAGCAACAAAACCTTCCCCTGAAACCTATCTCACCCAATTTCTACTCAGTTCGTACATCAGCACCCTGAAAGATGTTGGATTAAGCATAGTGGGCTATGCTTCACACCCAATAAACAAATCCCTCGTACCAATGGAGATGAACGTCGAGACCCTATGTATTGCCCTACACCTACCTTCACTGGACGTTCTTAATTTGGATGCCTTCGCACAAACTCCATCAGA